AAGCAGCACAGACTATGAAGTTGCCTGAAGCTGTACTTCTTAGGACAGAAGCTGAAAAGTATTTTGTAATAGGGCTATTACAGCCACATTCTTTAACAAGAATAAGACCTTGTTGTGCCTATAATAAAATGCCAATAAAATCTGCTAGAAAACTGCAGTTCATAGCTGACATTGGTTTATGTCCCAATTTTTCAAGCTGATACCAGCTTTGTAGTATATGGTTGGATACTGTATCTGTCTGGGTTTGTGTAATCTATCTGATTGGAAAAATGGGAACTGCCCAAAATGGGGTATAAATCAAGGCAGAATGTTTGACACTATTACAGCAGTCTCTTCTGTTTTTTTGACTACCAGCACAGTCTTTCAATAGTGGCAGGCATCCTTAACATGACATCACGCTGCTGGCTCATCTGGTGTCTAGTTGCCAAGTTTTGGACATAAACTTTCAGGTTATTCTTCCTAAAATGAGTATTTTCATCTTAAATTGGTATGGAGGACCTAACTCCTATGACAACCACCTTTTTTGCAGTGCAGTATTATGATTTTAACCTTGCCTCACTCCTACATTATTGCAGAGCACTCTTTTTCCATATCCCCTGGTAGATGCATTTTAACACCGTGTTCTTTATGTCTGATGAAGCTGGTACTTTCACAGAATACAAACTCTATGTGAGCCAGTGCATGAGGATCCCTTTTCCATCCCTATAACAGAACATGCTTTTCTGTTAAAATTTACCACAGTTTTACGAGTATTCAGGTACATGGATGGTGTAAGTGCACTTACCCATCTCTCAGAATGCTCTGCTGCCATTGTGAAAATTTTCTTTTCACCTGCTTGACCCTTTACACAGTATTTGACTATTGGAAGTGAAGCTGAGAATATAAAAAGAAAAATATTAGTTATGCATTCTGCTAACAAACACCACTGTATACTGTAGTGGTTTTTGCATGTGCTAATCAAGTAGACATTTAGGAAAGTAAAATGCTGCCAGACTCACAACACTGGGTCCAGTGAAGGGCGAGGTGCTGTTCAGAACCAACCCGAGCTCCTGGGAGCAGGATGAGGAGCAGCAGCCTGCTAAACCTGCTGTGGATGTCACAGCTCCTGAGGATGAGGAACACGTTCAGGAACCAGCTGTGACCATAACAGCTGGCTCTACAAGGACAGGCAGAACTCTTGTAGAACACCTTTGATTTGTAAATTAGTTCATATCTATCAACCACGATCATAATAACAGATTTCACTTTTTTTAAAATCATCCAGGTTGACTGGATTAGGACTTACTTATTCTGAAATAATTGAAAGGAGAAGTCATACTTAATATACTGAAAAATGTACTTTTTTCTTTTAGCATTTAACAAGAGAAAGACAATAGCACTAAGCATCACAAAATAATACATTGCTTTTTGGCAGCACATAAATTAACAGATTCAGAATTCAAAGTTTAAATACATCTGTGAACTGTCAGCATGGGCAAAATGCATTGAAATCCCTTTTGGTTTTTGCTCACAATTGTAACCAAACCCATAAATCTAACTTTAAAGGAATAGAGTAGAGCCAGAAACACATGCCTTGTCTACACTTAAAAGGGTTGGCTGGTATAGCTACACCTTAGAGCTGAATTGGCAAGCACAGATTTCTGTTGTAACTTAAATCATATTCTGCATGGAACATGCTAAAGTGGCTGAAGGACTCTGCCAACACAATGGCATCTACACTAGGGCTTTTGCCAGTGTGGTTGTAGCTGCATTGGAGTGATTTTTCATCATTCTGACAGCTATTTTGGCAAAGCTTCTACATTCAGACAAAGTCCAAGTTGGAGTTGGCATTATTTTATGTGGCAAATAGAGCAGAAGAGAAGAACTACCAGTTTATGGCCCTGGTTCTACATTATTGTAAACTGTTTGTTCTGAAGGAATGTGTGGAGCAGGATCCGTGTGGTCCTTTGGATGTTTGCCTCCCATATTTGAGCTGCATTAAAATTGCTTGGTTTTTCAGTGACTGAGCTTTGGCAAGGGGGGAAACTTACATTACTTAAAAAAGATAATGTCCATATTATTTACCTCAGAAATAGCTATCCTGAGGGCTTAAAGCAAATTTCCAAAGTGAAGTGAACTGCAAAAGGAAGCATCTGCACCAAAGGACATGTGGATTAATAATGCATAATTCTATTTCACTTTGTCCTCAGTTCAACAACAAATTTAAGCGTATATTAAGTGTAGGATTAATTTTAGGCACACTTGTAAGCCCATTTCAAGTTTAGTAGACATGTCAGATATGATAATGCTCCCACTTGAACTTTAATTAAGCAGATATTTGAAATTAATCATATGTTTAAGCACTGTGTGGAATCGGGATTTCTGTTGGAAGTGCAAGTTTATGCAGAACGAGGCTATTTGCTGTGGTACCACCTGCATTTTTTTTTCCTGAACTGGATGTTAAGTCTGTACTTTAAAGACATCCCAAAGGGCATTATTTTTCCACATAAGCACATTTGCATATTTGGCTTTTTTTTTTTCCTAATCTCCCTTTTGATAAGTGGTTTGTTTTTTTTTTTTGCTTCAGAAATCCATGCAGAGAAGTTTTTCATTGATTTTGTTAATTGCATTTACTGTTGAACTCTTTCCTCTGCCAAGCCCCGTGGAATCCTGACTCTGGGGTTCCCAGACCTGCCCGGTGCTGGGCCCTGCTCGCCGTGGGTGAGACACAAGGGCTGCTTGGGGCAGATTTCATGCGTAATCAGCCAGCACTGAACCAGTGAGCCAATGGGACGAGGAAGTCTAATTTAATCAAGGCTTCTTCCTTCCTTTTTGCAAGACACAGAACGTGCCTGCTAGAAGAAAGCACAGACACGTTTTTCTGCATTCCGAAAATGCGAAGCAGGCTTTGTGTGGCCTTGTACAGACCATCCATGGGGCACAACTAACAGCAACTCAGCAGTTTCCAGGTGAGTGTTTTGTGCACTTTGGTTTCTAGTTATTTAAAGCTCAGCGAAGGAGCTAGAGCAGCATTTACCCTGAAACAGAACAGGATGAGTGTCTGTTCCAGATAAAAATGTGTAATTTGTTGCAGGGGTTTAGTATTGTTCTGGATTTTTTTAATATGTAAAAATAAATAGCAGCTTACTTAAAAGAGCTTGCAATCATTTTTAGCTGTGAAAATGAAACTGTTTATATGAAGTGCATGTTTTCAAGGCACATAAAAAGGCAGAAGACTTGTGTATCATAATGTCCAATTCTGCATTCTTCTGTTCAAAAGTGTGTTGTGCTTCTCTGGTAGATCATGTTTTAAAGTAGCATCTATATGTATAAATACACACTCACATATATGCATATGTTAGGCATATAAAGCTATACATATGTAAAGATTTTTTTTTTTTAAATGTAAATACAATTTTGCTTATAAAGTTATCCCAGCTTACGACCAAGAAAAAAGTTGTCATTTAAATTTGTTTGGCCATTTTCAGATTCCTCATTTAATCTACTATATATGCTCTTGGGATGAACTGTTGTGATTTTCAAAAGACTGAGCAGTTAGACAATAAGTGGCTACTCTTCATGCTCAAAAAGCAGATCATAAGGAGGACTCAAATAACAGTGAGAACTTTTCATTCCGAGTCTGAAGTCCGAAAACAGGAGCTTCCATGATGCTTTTATTAAGGAGGATGACCACATTTATGTATTTGTTTATCCAAGCCAGGCAAAGGAAAGGTTTCTGTTAGGGGAAAGTGGTTTGCCCTTTCATTTCCAGCGGGGAAAGCAATTTCTTTTCCTTTTATAGCCTTGCAGCTTGCCAGAAATCAATAGGACTGCTGAAGGAGTTTCCTCACCTCTGTATCCTGCATTGCATAACTGGGTGGTTGGCAATTGGAGGCAAAATGATATGTAGTAACATCCCTCTCCTAAACTCTCCCGTTATTTAATAACCACTGCATGGCTTTTTAAAACTATATTGTTCTGTTATTTGATTTTCACCTATTGGCTGAACTGTGAGCAAAACTTCACTCATGATAACTAACTGAACACAGCACCCCGGCAAAGCTGTTAGGATGTTCTTAGAACTTGTCCAACTGCTAGTATAACACAGTGGTGTAACAGGTAGGTTTTGGGTTTGTTTGGTTTTTTTTTCAGTTGGTTGGTTGTTTTTTTTAAAAAACCAAACAACATCCTGGGGAGACATTTATGTGGCAGAATGGTCACTCTGGTCTGTGTAGTAGGAGCATATTGTGTTAGGCATTTTATCAGTGCATGGTAAAATACTGGTCCTAACAGAACAGGCATACAGATCTACTGCATTACAGTATGTAGGGTAAGAGGACTAGTAAAGGGAGAATGCTTTTATACAATAATTAGTAAATTCAGTTATCCTTACACTGAGCCATTGTCAAATTCACTTGTTTTGTTCTCGTAGTACAGAGACAAGTCCCTGGAGGCAACCTGAAACTGTGAAATATGATAAAAACATTATACTATTTTAGATATCACTCCATTTTGCCCTACAGGTTGTTATTAAGAACAGATGGCAAGTTTTTGAGTCTTGAGAACAGTATATTCTAGCAGTGTAAGAGAGCCAGGCTGCTAGTTATACTAATTATCTCCAAGATTTTGGTTTATCTGAACTCATACTTGCAAGCTTGAGGGCAAAATACGGGGAGGAAAAAATCTGCCCACACTGAAGTTCATGACCAGATTCTCATAGGTAAGAATTGATTTCCCTGCCTAATCTTATTCAACATAACTTCTTATGGTTTTCCTGTTTGTTTTTAACCTGCCAGAAAAAAACATCCGAGCACTTTCAGCAGTAACAGTAATAGGAATGGTTCTGCACTGGTAGCTGTGTAGATATTTCTGGTTTTTACTTTAGCTTTTATGAAACTACAGTTGCACTGATACAAGTTCACAGAGAAAAATGAGTAAGTAATAAAAAAGATTGCCAAAGTGGATCCTCTAAAGGCGTGGTACTAAGAAATATCATGGGTTTTGTAATCTTTCAGTGAGAGCTTGCAATGGACCAAGATTCACACTGCACAGCAGAAAGGGAATTGTTGGAAGCTGTAAGCAGAATTACTACATTTTCTACCACAAACCCAGCTGATAAAGAAGAAAATCAACCCAAAGCTGAAATTTCGTGTCATCTGAGAAAAGAAAACCCAGAAAAAGATGACTTGAAAGGTTGATGCTATCTTCTAATTTTATTTTTCGTCTAGCTATTTATGCCATTAGTCTTTTATATAAAAACCTTTTCTTATTAATTGCAGCAGTAGTTCAAAATTATACTGCTACACTGCACTGAAAATAAGCCTTGCTTAGACTTGTAATAATAATGTAGCAAGAGTGAAACAGATGCATATCCAAGTGTGTTCACACACAGTTTTCCTTTTAAATTGTTTGTACCTAAAATGCATTACAGATTTGATTTACACACCAGGAATGAAATCAGTGATCATCAGATGGCCTGTCCCAGGAGTGCACCTTCTGTGCATCACAAAATCTGAACTTCTTGACAGTATCAGCAAAGATACCAAGATTGAAGTTTATCTCAAGCAGGCGGCTCTCACAAGCCTTTAAAGAGACAGCATTGAACATTTACTATGCCCAAGATTGCTGTCATCTGTTATTAAATAAAATGTTACGTATAATTCAAAATATATATAATCTCATCAAGATTTTTCATCCTGCAAGGATGTCATAAAAACCATCTCTCTTAGGAAATATTTGCTTTGTAGAGATCAAGCCAAACCCAAAAGGCCTTGATAATTGAAACTGTATGGCCAATTGATTGAGAAAATGTAAAAGCAGGAGTACTATGATGCCTTTACAAGTCTATTTCTGCATCAAGCTGATCTCTTACCCTTCATTTGTGCTCATTCACCTCCAATGCTACATACATTGCAGACTGACTTCAGCTGACTGCCTTGACAGTGTGCCCACTGAAATACAAATATTCCACTTCTTTTATCCACTTTGCTAGCCTATATGCCACCTGATGAAAACTGTTGTCAGTAGATTTCAAAGACAGAGAAATCACCCTTTTGAAATGCTACATCAAATTCTCCTGTAAGCAAACTCTTCAACCAGCTGTCCTATATTTTTATATATGCATATGTATACATATGTATGTGTGTGTCTATGTGAGTGTGGGAGGAGAGAGAAGGGAAAAGGAGGAGGTATATAAAATATTTGCAGCTGAACTGTGTCATCAGCTACAAAAGAAAACGAGGATGCAAAAATTCCTCCAGTTGAGCTGGTTATCCAGCTTTGAGGTTAGGATATTCATGTTTTCTCAGCTTTTGCCTATTACTGCACAAACCCCATATTTGAATAGGGTCAGTATTTGAAAATATGTCTGAATTTGCAGCTGCATTGTGTTAACTCCTCCTTTGAGCAACAAAGAAGCCTGGAGAAACATCTGACTCTGAAGACTGTTGATGTTTCTTCGGGCTGCCTCTGGGATGGGGAACAAAATCTTGTGCTCAGACTGTGCCTGAGGTTACACCCTTCACATACAATACTTTTTGGCACTACTTTTTCTACAACTTTGTATTCTGCAGATGAATTGGTGTCTTTCAAAATTTTAGACCCAGTAACTTTCCTCAAAGCATCTGGACCTGTCATTACTATCAGTGAAATCACTTATTTTATCAGTCTTTAGTTCTTGCTGTTACAGCAACAAAAAAATCTAGGCTGTCCTTTCACAATAAATGCATAAGAGCTTTCTTTCCAAATGCAAAGGATATAACCTGAAATATTAAATATATTATTTTTAGATTCCAATGCAACCCTAAGTCCCCACTCTTCAATGACCACTAAGGAGCTTCAGGAATACTGGAGGAACGAAAAAAGCCAGTGCAGACAAGTCAAACTCCTTTTTGAGATCCCATCAACCAGAATTGTAGAGCACCACTTGTCTAAATATGTGGTAAGCTAAGAAATGAATATGTAAGAAGATCATTAATTTTTCTTCACTCTACAGGGGTCTGCAGAGCACACAGCATGTCTCACTACATGAAAGCCTTACCGAGGGCCAAGTTTTGCAAGCCACAATCATACAGTGTAGAAGCTCACTGATTGCATGGGCATAGCTGGTGGAATCTGCCTCTAAAAAAACCCTGTGATAGTCAATTCACAAAATCTGCATCAGTGGAGAAGTGATAACAAGTAAATTAGTAGCTTTGGTATCCCTAACACCCAGAGTTTTGTCAACATTAAGGAAATTCACACAAGTAAAAAAATATCTGTATAGTTACACTTCCACTGAGCTAGCCTGCTGTAGCAGCTGCAGTGCATTTGTATAACTTCCACATCAGAGATTTCTGTTAGCACAAGTGCAAAAGTCTTTGATGTTGAAAAAGCCTAAGACATCCTCCAGCTACATCACTTGAGATCGTTCCCCTTCCCTACCTAGAGCTCCCTTAGGTGGCATATTTCTGTCATATTTTTTAAATGAATCATGGGCATCATGGGTAGGAACAACAGAATAGGTTGGATTTTTGTATCTTTACTTGTAGTGCTGACACTGGGCTTTTATTTCTGATGCTGCTCCTGGCCTTCAGAAAGACTGATCTAGAGTGAGTCTCTACTCCTGTGAAATTCAGATAGGGATGATTTCCTTCGTTGCTACGACCTCTGAGATGAAAAATGCCAAGAATCATTCTAGCATTGCTCATACTGGGTCATCCAGCTTGGTAGAATTCGGAGCAGGTAAATGTTTTGCAGACTGGCCTAAGATCTTTTTGCATTCTATATACACACCTACTTAGTTCATGCCATACAAACCTACTTATTGCTGCTGTTATTGCATACTCAGTGGTATCCAGCTTGCTGAATAGTTCAAAATTATTTTAGTATAACTGTATGAGAACAAGAGTATCTCTCAGCTTATGTGCAATTAGTTAAAGTTAGTTATAAGTTACATGCCTAGGCAAAAAGATTTACATTAGAAAAAAATTGAGCCAATTTGAATGACAGTCAAATTAAATGGTATTTCGTGCCTTTTTCACGCACACTCCTCAAATAAAAAACCCCAAGTACTTGTAAATTATTGACTTAGCTGCCCTTGATAAAATGACAACTTAAAAAAATTGCTCTTATGATTGTTTTAGAATGCATCAGGCATATATACACTTTTCAGCAGGGAGCAGGACAAAGTATAGGAAAATGTCACAGTGCTTACAAATGAAAAGAGATCAGAGAAGTCAGCTCAAATTTAGAAACCTTTCAAGAGGCGCCTATAAAGATCATTTATGAAGATTAAAAGAGAATTTCTCTTTAAGGAAAAACAAGGAAGAGAATCAGAGAGACACTAGAACGAGTGCTGGTTTGCACCCTTCAGAGCAACAAAGAAAACAACTGGCATGAGTAAAACCTGTCCAGCTCCTGTATAAATCGATGGGAACAGGGTGAAGTTGAATATGAACACAGACATGTAAAAGGCCCACAGTCTGTGTCCTTAGCTGGTGTGTGGTGCCACAGTTAAGCTGGCCTCAGTGCAGCTTCACTGGTTTACACACGTTAGGGATTTGGCCCTTCCTCAACATCACTGTGCTTTGATCAGATCCAGAAAAGAATCTATTTGTACAACACATAACACACAAATTTTTTTGCAGCTTTTTTCCTAATATCACATTTATTATAACCATTTTGAGGCTAGTGAAGAGCTGAGGAAGACATACTCCTGAGTTACTGTGGGGGCAGCATTGCTGTTAGCTATTAGTGAAGGAATTTAGATAGCAAACAGATTGTTGTAGAAATGTCAATTTTTTTTGTATTATTTACATGCCAAGTAAGTTTGAATAGAGGGCAATGATTTAGAGGGGGGGAAAGGCTTTGGAGTTGCTCCATCTTATTTTTGCACATACCAAATATGTTACCAAATACTCCCTCTTCTTTCACAGGATTAATAACACCCCCGAATCCCTAGTAATATCTCTTACAAACAACATTTCTGAATATTATGACCAATGTAAAATAGATTACATTCAATATTAAGTCTGGGAAATCCATTCAGTTTACTGAAGATGATTGATTGTAGCAGCCATGGCTTTGTTATAAACAAAGTACAGCTACAGAAATGCTTTGTAAGTGTTTTTATGTGCCTCAGTCTGCTGCTAGTTTGCCTTTCCCAGCACCTTGCAGGATGGAATCTGTTAGTGCACTATCTACAGCTTATTTGCATGCTAAGGGTAAGTCTGGTGACAAAACTACAGAACAGCAGGTGGTGAGAATTATTAATTTGATGGTTGCAGATTTTTCAGGCCTACGCTGAGCATGCATCATAATCCCAGACAGCACGTGATTCAGCAGCACTGCCATAAACCATAGGAGGATACAAGACTACACACACAAAATTGGTGCAGGAATGTTTTAGCTGGAGAAATATACAGGCACAAAGTCTTTTCAGAGCAGTAACAGAAAAAATGTGACTGCAGTAGGGCTGGAATGGTCCTTCTCATGTTTATTTTTCTTTTTGATTGTGTTTAGATGTATAAAATCATCATTCTGCAAACAGGGAGTTTTGACAGCAACAAGTCTGTAATTGAACGGCGTTATTCAGATTTTGAGAAACTGCACAGAAATCTGCTGGAGGAATTTAGTGAAGAAATGGAAGATGTGACCTTTCCCAAAAAAACTCTAACAGGGAACTTCACAGAAGAAATAATCAATGAGAGAAAATTAGCCTTCAAGGACTACCTGAGACTTCTATATTCTATGAAATGTGTCCGAAGATCAAAAAAATTTATTGACTTTTTAACAAGGCCAGAGCTTCAGGAAGCGTATGGTTGCTTAAGGGGTGGCCAGTACCCCAAAGCTTTGGAAATCCTTTTGGAAGTCATCGGTCTGCAGGAAAGGCTGACAAGAGGCAACCCTGTCTCAATTGTCCCTACTCTCTGTGCTATCATGGTGTGCCACAAGGACCTGGAAAACCCAGCAAGTGCCTTTGAATATGGAGAAAAAGCTCTGTCACGCCTTCGTGTGCATTCCAGCCACAGGTATTATATCCCATTGTTAGAAACGATGATCACTCTGGCCTATGAACTTGGCAAGGATTTCCTGTCTCTGCAAGAAAAACTGGAAGAATGGAAGGCAAAGAAAGATCCCGTACGGGTATTTACCCTGAAAGAACTTGCAGTTCGGGAATATGTACAATGAACACAAGAAACAATTTCATGAAAGAGCAAATTCCTGAGGGAGTAAGAACTGAAAATTACCAGTTTGGCAAATGTAGCATTGTATTAATAGAAAAAAAAAATAAATTAAGCATCTTCCATGTTCAGAAGGGACATTAGCATCTATGCTGGAAAATATTACATTTTCTCTGCAGATATGAGGAGTATATAAGGAGCACCTTAAGGTTTTTTGAAAGAAATTTGCAAGAAAATAATCATTTACGTTTTGCTTATTTTGAACAAAGCTTATTTTGTGTGAAAAGTCAGAATAAGAAATTGCAATGAATAAAGCACTTAAGAATCTGCAGAATCAGAGGCATTTCTTGCTCATGTGGAAACTATTTCCTTTCAAGAACAAGAACACCTTCTCAGCTGATGCAATTTAAAAGATGCACCTTCAGACACCGGATGTAGTTTTTTCCTCCTCGAGCTCAGGCCTGGTCAAACAGCACTTTGCTGTTTTTGAGAATGATGGGATTGGTCCTGTTCCCTCTGAATTTGGGGGGGGAAGGTTTACAATCAACTTTGGGAGGAGTGAAAAATACAAGCAATGATCTGTCGCTGATAATGTCGGAACGGCCAAAGCGACACGAAAAAAGGTTCCAGCAAAATTTATTCCAAGAAAAAAGCAGGGACAGCCACCCGGGGCTGCTGCGCAGCCCCTTAAGTACAGTTTTTGAACACACGTAATGCACACGGATAGGACAGTTCAAACTTTCACACCAGAATTCTTACAGCTAATAGGTGCATTTTCTAAACTCTACTTTCTCACCACAACTTTGCTCTTTCTCAAAACAGCCCAGTTCTTTCCCACAACAGTCCCAAGCACCTGCTCTTATTTTTCTCTCATGTTGATGTTCTTCCCAACCACTCTCATTCAAAACAGGTCCTTGTTCTCATGAGACAGTGCTCCTGTTCTCATGAGACAGTGTTCTCTGTTCCCACAGGACAGCTTCTTCAGGATGCATCAGTATGTTGTCAGGATCAGGGCCTCCATTTTCAGTCCTCTCTTTCAGTCCATCTCAGGGGTATACTTTGATCTGGTCAACATCTATTGCTTCGTCAGTATGTGCCAAGGTGCTGACAGACCCGCTGTCACCCATGACAATTCCCCCTTTTTTGTATTTATGCGACAAAGATGGCCTTAACAGTCTGCTGCAGGGCCCTTTGCAACAGGCTGATCAAGCAAGGCATCAGTATCGACAACCCCTGATTCAAAGCTAAGAAGCAATGCAGCATTTCCCAACGAGGATGGATAACAACACTTCACCAAGAAAAAAGAGAGTTCATCTACCATCTAGAATAAGGACTCACTATGGTCCGACAGATTCATGTAACACATTCCTTTAAAATCTTGACACTCATGTAAAGTATTTTTAAGTCTACACATATATATCTACACAGTTTCTCTCTCTCATACAATCTTTTTCCAGTCATTCATTGGTGGCCACCTCAGTCACACTTCACTCACGCATAGCTGGAATTTCTATTATACTTTTACATTTTAATTACACACTTTACATTTTAAGTAGTTATTGGCTGTGTACTTCTCAGTTTGTCATCTTTGGCAGTCACGTCCAACAACTGTACCTGGCCTGAAAAGGAATACATACAAGGAATATAAAGCCTAACAAATTTAAATGAGATCTACTCCGATTTAGCATCTGTTTATGCACCTGCATGGTTTCTTTCCCCCCTTTTTATATTTTAAAATGTTCATTTGATGTGTAAAATGTTTTCTTGACAACACTTTGTCCTATAAGTGAGTTAGGAATCCCTGCATAATTGTTTTAGCTCTGGAAAACCAGCAAATTACAACATTACTTGTCCTTACAGTTTTTTAAAACTTCCTAAATTGTGCAGAATTAAACCAATGTCTGAGTTACATGAGTAATGAGTGATTGGCAGCAACACATGATTTCTGTCTATAGTCGGTACCTAGAAAAATGAATAGATAAATCACTATTACAGTCTGCTAATACATCTTGAAAATCAGTGTCTTCTGTGAGAAGTCAGTCCAAGTTGTCTCCGATGTCTGGGATGTAATTAACTCTCAGCTCTTGTTCATCTGCTTCTTTTAGTTGTTCTTCACCTTTAATAAAAAACTCACAAATTTGTTATTAATAGTTCAGTCAGTTTTAAGTGGGTATCATGGGTAATTTTGTAGTTTTTCTTTGAGGCTGAAGGCCTAGTGATGATTCTTTGCAGTATAATTCTCTCTGTAGGAGATAGGTTATATGGCTTGGTTTTATGAATTTTTTCCTGGAGCATTCTTCAATCCTGCTTCTCAAAGAACATTGGTTAGAACAATCACATTTAGTTTTTGCTCATCTTTTTAGGTCTCTAACTTCTGTATTTCCTTTTACTTTGCTTTTATCATTTTGAGCAGCATTTTATCATGTTGCACTGCAGAAAAATTCTCTCCTATTGTAAAGGAAAACACTGAATTTCAGGAAGGCCACTGTAACTTCAATAAAAGCAAATAGCAGCTTTCATTATGAAGAAACAATTGGCTGTTCAAAATCTCAGCATATGGAAATCTTTCAGAGGATGGGATTACTGATTTTTATAAGGGTCTTAGTTGCATAATTGGATTAAATATAGTTTTGTATCTGTTAATTTTCCTTTATCAAGCCACGCATGGCTTGGGATTTTAACAGGATTCACAAATTCATAGGGCAGATTCCTGCCTCTCTGAATGTAAAAAATGAAACTGGAGAACAGTCATGTCTTTTTAAAACTTAAGCAGTCTCATCCAGCCTCTGAAATGATATGATCAGCTAGGATTTCTAAGCAGCTAATTCTGAATTTTTGCTGATATTTATATATTTTTCTGGGATATGCATGAAAACTTTAAACATCTTATTTAAACAAAATAGGTGTAACAGTTTAACTTACATCGATGTATTTAAGAAGTTAACACTCGTAAAGTAGCTCTCAACTTTAGCAATTTACATAAAGCCACAGTAAAACTCACTCAGGCTGCTTTAAACTAGGGTTTTGCTCATAAGAGTATACCAGGGGATCCAGAATGCACACCTTGCAAAGCAGCAAAAGTTCTGGTTTAAGCTTGTCACCTGATAACAGGGACACACCTCTGCTGCTTAGCACAAGAGACCAGGACAGATGCAGTTTAAACTTGAAACACTGTCTGTTGTTAGGCAGTTTCCTGTATTATATCTTTAGATTTTATCTCTCTTTCCACAAAGGTGGAAACTTCCAGCTAGAAACAGCTTATTTATTTTTCCCTTTTTGCTCTGGCAAAAACTGCCCCTGTCAAATAAGATATTTTTGAGCTAGGTATTCCACCAAAAAAAAAAGTCTACCTTAGAGCTAACTGTAAAATACAGAAGCAACAAAAGAATGTTTACAGAGCTGTTTGAGCAGGGGGGAAGAGGGAAGGTAGAGCAGCTGTGCTTAAAGCTCTGCCGGAGAATCACTCCCCCCACACACACTGGAATTTTCTTATCACAGGCAGTTGTCTATCAGCAGTTACTTTAAAAACTCTATTTCTCCATTACATTTATGTATGCATTCTGAAACAATTTTGGTTATTTTAATGAACAACTTCAGAAAACAGTTAGTGAGACTATATTATGAAATTGTAAGACAATTTCTTTCTCCAATCAGAAGGTTACAAAGTTGCAATTTCTACAAAGCAGGATATTTTGATTCTCCTCCCAGCTCTGAGGGAGTGAATAAAGTTTCTGCTTAGTTACCAAGCAACAGACCATCTCTATCATGTGAAATACACTCTATTTCTTTCCCTGGCAAGGCTGAATCTTTTCAAGGGAAGGCTTTTTACTTTTCTTTTTCCTTTTTCTCCTGGCAAAGAACTTTGTTTCTTCACATACACACGCACACACAGTAACAGTAATATTGTGAGCTCACAAAAACACATTCAACAAACACTACAGTTAACACAAGAATTAACAGAAATATCAGAAGGCAGTCTTTTGCCCCCCCTTTTCTTTCCACCCCCCGGTAGGGATCGTCGTCTTCAGGCTTCCATGACACCAAACTTGATTTGTTGCATATTTTTCTGTGTTTTATCTTACACACATTGTGAGATTGAAACAGTCAATTAGTACATGAACAAAAAATAGGTAACTCAGGCTGCGAAGAAGCAAGAAAAGGAGGTAGATGCTGACTTTTGAGTTCAAAGGCTTATACAGGGATGGGCTTTGCTATCTTGTTTTCTGCCCAGCCCCCGTTGTTCTAATTTATCTCTGTCCCTCTCCATTCACTTATAAATCTTGACTTGGATTTCTTTTCTTAGTTGTTTTCTCGGTGGAGTTATCTGGTGGAAAAACTGCTTTTTCTGCAGCAGTGGCAATGGAGAGGGGGGGACCTCACCTCTTTTCTGTCTCCGGGAGTGAATTATTAATTTTTTCTGCATTTTTATTGCTTGGAGGTGTAGTTCAAGGACAATTTGTTACATCGGCAACCTGCTTATCTTTCTGGGCAACTGCATTTCAGAGTTTTAGTTCTTATATGAATTATTGCATAGATTGTTGCCTCCCGTACGCTTCTAAATCTTTCAAAGTCTCACGGAGCAAGTGTTAGGCAAACACACGAAATGCAACTTAACGTAGTAACTTCAAAGCCTTATTTTCAGTACTATAACAGCACACGTCGTAAATTAAATTCAGCAACCTTGACATTCTTTCGGTTAAGGAGGGATTTCCACGTAGATAGAACTACACTTTCCTCCTTCGTTATGTGCTGTCCCATTGTTAAAATATAGTCCCCGGTGGCACCCCCGTTAGCTTACCTAATGAGGGTCAAAAAGTTCAGGTCCGGACCATTTCGCGGGAACCACCCGCTCTCAAGCTACACCGGGCTCCGTTCCCCCTGTGCTTCGCCCCACAGGTCCAATCTCCCTCTAGGAGAGAAAATCCTCTGCTCTTTCCCCTCTAGGAGGAAGTCACGGCAGCTCCACAATTGGAGATAAATCCGTCTTCAACGTTGCGATCACGTCGGCGTCGCCAGATGTCGCTGATAATGTCGGAACGGCCAAAGCGACACGAAAAAAGGTTCCAGCAAAATTTATTCCAAGAAAAAAGCAGGGACAGCCACCCAGGGCTGCTGCGCAGCCCCTTAAGTACAGTTTTTGAACACACGTAATGCACACGGATAGGACAGTTCAAACTTTCACACCAGAATTCTTACAGCTAATAGGTGCATTTTCTAAACTCTACTTTCTCACCACAAC